AGAAGCTCCAAAGCCTCTGCAGCACAGGTTCGATCCCGGCTGGCAGGCGAGGGTCCCACCTGGTGTGGCAGACCTCTCCAATCGTTCACGCTGCTCCCCTCAGCAGTGTATTTCTTCAATCTGCCTGTTCTGTTCCCTGCTCTGTCTCTGTTGAATCCTCTCACCCTCCCTCGCATCTGGCCTGTACCCTGGTTCGTGTATAAATAAATAAATAAATCTTTTAAAAAATAAAATAAAAATTCCTGGTGATGAGAATTGCTAAAGTGAATGTGTAACTGAACAGGACTTCATAGGCCAAAGGAAGAATGTTGTTTCATAACATGACGGATCTGGAATGTATAAGCATTTATAATAATCTAGCATTTGTCCCTCAAAAAAACTAGTTTTTATATTCCATGAAAGACGAAATTTTTTTCTTTTCCAACTCAATTTACCTAGTTCCCTAATCTTAATGCCTCATTATTTTGCCTCACCTTTGTAACCACTTTGAAGAAGATTAGAGACTATTCTCCCATAGTCTCTACAGAGAGGAAGTACACTGATTAAGATTAGGTAGATGTGACCTCCTTGAAAACCGAAAGCTAAAATGAAGGACCTGCTAAATTAACTTCCTTTTAGGTTGTGTTATAAGTAAAGTTATTCTTTTTTTATCCTTTCCTATATTAAAAGGATAAGATGGTAGAGGTTTTTATGCTAACTCCATAGATAGATTTAGCTGTCATTTGTTCAAAATTATTTCAGAATATTGAAATTCTTGCTCAGTCTAAAAGAGCTTGAGTCCCAAAAAAGCCAGTATCAAAACTCACAGCCCAAAAGTAAAAAGTACGGGCTTAAAAGTCAGATAGGCTCAAGTTGAGTCATAGCTATCCTCCAATTCCTAATGTATAAAGATAGTTTATCTACTCTACAGGACAGTCACAAGGCTTAAATAACATTTCAAACACATAGAACTTATAGAGAACGGCCAAACAGGATTTGGTTATTATTACTTTTTATTTTCTTTTTTAGACCTGCAATTATCAGTGACTGCTGGTCCTGTCAGTTACAGCAAAACCCCAATTCCCTGATCAACCTTATTCTTGTCTCTACTTTTGAAGTTAGAAGTGATGGAGAAAGTGCATCTGGACCTAGAGAACCATCTCTCATAGGTTTCTGCCCTTCATGCAAGACTGTCATTTGTGAAGGAGTTTTTCACTTTAAGGTCTGCCATCCAATTCAGAGACTTATCCTTCCAAAGATATGAGCTATAGTCACGGTTTATAATGTCATATTTGCTATAATGTTTTGGTATAGTTGCTGAAATATTCACAACCTCAGTTATGGTTTAGATCCCAAAAGAATTACAAGAGGAAGGCAACTCCATTCTTCAGTAAAGTGCAGAAATAGGAATAGTTATATTGGATGATAAAAACATAAAAAGTTTTTTAAAACTTATCTATCTTTAGATCATTATATTTACAAAGTCAATGCAGATTTTTTTCAATTTGACCAGGACCCTATACTGAGGGGAATTTTAAAAGTTAAGTTAGCCACAATTTAAGTCTGTATAGATCATTGTAACTAGTCACAGATTTTTAAAATTGCATTGAAGTACAAAATTATGTGACCAAAGTTGTCTCAAATGCAAGAGGCACTTTTCATTTTTTACATCCTGGAAACTGGCTGTTCTGTTGTAAGTTATGTGCAGTGGTTCTCTTCTTAGAACCAACATTAAACCAGTAGTCTATCTTGCAATGATGGAGGCTTAGAATTATGGAAATCAGGGTTTCTAAAATCATTGTAATGATGTTATTTTAGGATGACTGTTTTTACTTTGTGATAACTTAATGATTAGCAAAACAAGTTGAATATATAAGAAAGATAATCAAAAAAGCCTTATTAAAATGAATGATATATACTTATATAGGTATTGTGGAATCATCAGTCTAATTAATAATGGATTTTTTTTTTGTTTTGCCATTACTTTCAAAGCTCCTTAGATTTCTCCAAATGGGATAGAAAGTATCATATTTATAGTAGCAAAAGATGAGGGAGACCAAAAACCTCCCTCACTGACTCCCAGAAACCCTTCCCTCACTCTCAGGGTGACTCCCTTTGAGGGTACCCATGTAGCTAGGGTGGCAGCCTTATCTAGCACTATTGGGCAATGTGCGGTACTACCACTCCAAGCCTACACACAGCACAGAGCTCACACACAGTGGCTATTCAGTAAATACTTCTGGCTCACTAATGTGAAGCACAAAACTGTTCTAACTAGATATACATTTAGCTTTTAAAATGTAGGGGCAAAATTTCTAAAATTGTCACCCTCTTTTATACTGCTAAAACCCCTATAAATTAATTTTGGGACCAAATTTTGCACAAATAAAAGTCATTGATAAGTAAAATCTTGAAAGTTCTTTTCTTCCTTGAACTATAGAACCATTTCTTTTTCTATTTTGGAAGCAAATTTGAAAATTTCCACACCCAAAAGAGGGGCATCATTTTCACAAATGTTTGGATTAGAGATGGAATATTCACTGGAAAGCGGATAGAAGCAATTAAATGTGATGTTAAAAGCTGATATGAAACACTGACCAAGGAACAACAAGCGTAAATTGACTTAGTTATTATTACCTTTAGGAAGGCTAACAATTTTTAGTGATTATGTGATAAGTTGGTTTGCAAATGTTTTAATCAATTCAATTGAAAGATAATAACCTGTATGTAATTGGGAAGAAAAAATATATAAGAAAAAGAACAAAGAAAAAGAACAGAAAGGGAAGGAGAAAGGAAATTTTATCCTAAAATATATAATCCAATGAAAAACTCTTATGTCCAAAATCATTCCTTTTACATTCCAAAAACAAAAGTTCTCTGAATGCTGACATATTACAATAGGCACAGAATCAGCTTAGATCTTAAAAGTAAAAGTAATTTATATGCCCTTTGTCCACAAATCATGATTAGAAAACCTCAAATACTACTACATTTGTTTTCCTGAAAGCTACCTAATTCTGTCATAGCTAATTTTAGATATAAGCACAGAGCTTACCAATAGGAAGAACAGGTGATACATTTTTTTGCCTATTGGTTTACCCACACAACAGATGGAAGAAATTAGATAAACTATAGGCTTGATTTTTTTATAACTAAAATAATGTAAGTTGTTTCCCATTTTTTCCTTAAACTTTAAGCATAGTTGATAAGCATAATAAAAGCATTCTTTCTCATTCTTTTCATGTATTTGGCCCAATAGCTCTAGGAATTCTGAAACAGTCTCTTTTAGGCTTAGGGATAGCTGTAAGATTTCCACAGCAACAGAGAAATTTTCATTAAGGCACACAGTATCATCAGAATATAGTATACACCTACCACATATACATAGGATGTTTTAGAACACTCAAATTTGTTGTTACAAAATATATGACACAATTGTGCTTATTCTATGTTAGATATACTCTCGTTTAGAAATCTTGTATTTGTACCTTTCGAAGAAACAAGATTAAGAATACAAGGCATAGGAAAGTGATCACCTCCAGCCTTCAAATAATGTCATACCTGCCTAAGCTTAATTGATTTGCCACCTCAGATAAATCTTATTTCTAAGCACATTGTGAATTATATTAAATGACTTTGAAAAAGAAAATCTTTGGCTTTTTGTTCACAAAGGAAGCCCTTCCCCTAAAAATCATGTCAACTTTCCATTCTGCAAAGCAACTCATTCACAGAAAAGCAGTCAAAAAGGACTTCATTTAATTAGTGATATGTAGACTTTTGCATAGAAAAAGGTTACAAAGTAATGCAAAAAAGATTAGGTACAGTAATTTTAAAACAAATATTTAAAAGTATAGTTTTGCATAATGTTTAACATTCTCATAATGTTTATTGCTTTCTCCACACAGCAGAGAAATGAAGTGCATAATAATACATGCTGTGTCTTTATCTTTCAAACATAAAATCCCATGTGCTCAACTTCAATGTATTAAGAATTTTGTCATTAAACAAAATAAAACAAAAACAAAACACCATTACGAAGCACTAATCTAGGCATGGACAAAAATAATTTATATACATCCATTGCATACATTCATCTTGATTTGGAATTAAACACAACCATGAGTTTGACAAAGAGCACTTAAAAATTGTGGCTTTTCTCTTCCCAATGCTTTCTCCCTGTCTCATCACCTCTAGAAATGCAACTTTTTTCAAGAGGTGACAAGAATAGATATGATATGTTATCAGGACAAATGAAAAGGATACATAAAAATAGCTCAAATGCAACTGAATAAATTAATCCAAACTTTTACAAACTGAAGAGTTTTCAAATAGGCATCTGGGGGTTACACAGCAGGCAACTACTTCTAGGTGCACTCTATAAGTGTATGATCACCATAAAGAAGCACCATGTTTTCAGCAATGGAAAAAAAAAGTGCCTGAGGGCTTGCAGGAAGGGCAGAAATGGTTGTTAATCTAAGCACTGATGGAATAATTGCTTATACCAATGCATTGCTAAATATCACCACTAGCAAGTCCGTACAAAGAAAGCAAACTAAGATAAAACTAGGTCTTTCAACATGAAAATTATTTTCAGCAATCCTTCTTGCCAATAAAATCCTGTTGGTATCAACAGAGTATTCTTGTCTGGCATTGTATTAAAAGGTCTGCAGCCTAAAAGCAAGACTTCTGTCCCTTAACTTTCTATGCTGTGCAAGTTTTATGTTCAGAAGAAAACTTTACTAGCTCAGGCACTTATGAAACAGGAATATATTTTTTTCCATCTAGTGTCAAGAGAATTTAATCAGAATTTTTCTTCCCTAATTCATAAACTGATGTACTGCTGGATGGTACAGTCCATATATTTTCCAGGAAACTTGTAAATGGAAACAAGTGTGATGTTTTCAAAAGTTGCTGATGTCACTTGCCAAGCTGCCTTAAACAAAAAAACAAAAAAACAAACAAACAAAAAAAGAGACAGAGAGAGAGAGAGAAAAGATAATACCACATTTCCACTTGTGAGGTTTGTGTCTGAAATAGCTTTATTGTTCCTTTGTGGATCTGGAGACATCTGTATGGCTACTTTCAGGGTGCAGAGGTGTCAAGCTGACTCTGAAATGAAGGACATTCAGTTACTATTGCAAGAAGTTCAATGAAAACTTAAAAAGCTCCCACTTCTGTCCCCCAGGGTCGGTAAGGTTTACTGTTTGTTCCATTGCTTGTCTGCTGAGGGCTGGATGTGGCTGATACCGACAAGGGGGGACTGATTGCGGTGGCGGCTGCCACTGCAGCAGCTGCATTTGGGGGGAGCATGGGGAATGCCCCTGCAAAAGACAGAGGGAAGCTGTGTGCAGCTGCAGTGGCTGCTGCAGCAGCTGCATGGACAGTGGCTGAGAGGGACAAAAGAGAAGTGGAAAGAGGTGGCACGCAGGGGGCGACACTGCCCGTCGATGGCATCCGAAGAGCAGAATCTGCATGGGCAAATGTGGCCGTGAGCAGTGCAGAGCCGTGGGCAGGAGGCACTTCTGAAGTCGTGGAGAGGCGACAAGGTGTTGACTCGGAGGCATGGAGTCCATTGGGTTGGAGCAAGGCTGTGGGGAGATGGTGGAAGGCTGCGGCCCAGTGGTGAGGATGGAGAGGGTGGTGGTGGTGCGCCAGAGAGGATGTCATTGCCGCAGCCTCCCGCTGCGAGGCACATGTGCTGAGATGAGAGACTAGTCGCACCCGCAGGGGATCCGAGGAGTCCAGGCCTTCCACCGAGCTCAGGTACCTGGCCACTTCTGTTAAACACTCTCGGAACCCAATGCTCATGAAGTCCATGGCTAGAGCATGTGCATCAAAGTAGCCTAAAAGGGGGTTTGAGCAAAGTAGGGGCAAGGGGAGAGAATGAGAGAAAGTGAGACAGTTACTAAGAGTATCTACCATCTATGTTGCAATCTGCTCCTCAGAAGATTTGAGAAGAATGATAATCCTTTTTGATAATCCTTCAGCTATTTATGGTTTTAATTTTCACGGAAGTTAAGAGCATACTTTGCAATTCACATGTGTCACATCTCTGCCAGTGCTCTACACTACAGTTGTTTTTGCAACCAAATAGCACAGTAGGCGGGGTGGGGGTGGGGGATTAAGAACACCCATGTTTCAAATACTTGCAGAAAAAAAGTGTCTCTCCTCTTGAAAGGTGGGATATGAAATTCCCTAGTAAACTTTTTCACAGTAATACAGCGTTTCAGTCTCTCTGTCTCTGTCACATGAGTTGCAGATTAAGGCTTATCTGAAACATCCTCACTTCATTGGCATTTAGAACAGAGATTTAAAATACATGTTAGCAACGTGAGGACTTTATTTAAAAATGTGTCAGAATCTCTTCATAAATTCATAAATGCTTTTGACTCATAGTGTTTTTTAATTAATAAAGTGAAAACGTCTTGGCATTACTTTGGACAAAAGTTAGTGAAAGCATAATGATTTAAAAGAAAATCTAGTTACTAATTTGAAGATCTTCAGGCACTATGAGGCTGCTTTACTAATATGGGATTACAATAACTCCAAGTTTTCTTGAAGTTCAAATATATAGTTCCTTTATTAGTTAGCTTGATTTTTCCTGGCATTCACTCAAGAAGATATATATACATACACACACACACACACAAACACACACACACATACACATATAAATACATATAGTGTGTATGCACATACTGTGGTTGCTACCATAAAAATAGCTGAAGGCCCCGCTTTATCCAAGATAATATGTTGGCATAGAAAATAGTAATGTCTGATTATTATCAGCATCAATTCAGGGTGCAATAATCATAATACATTTGGGAAAATATCACCACTTTGAATGAATGATTGCCAACATATGCATACATACTCTTCAGAATTTAGAAAGTTTTCAATTTGAAGGTTTAAATGACTTACTTTGGGGATGTGTGTATACACAGATGAGAAACAACCACAGTAACCAAGGTTATTTTTACCTAAGGTATTTACTATATTACTTTTTTTTATGTTTATACAGGTCAAAATATTACCTGTTTCATTTATTATCTATTAAAAATGAGACTATCTTATTCTGTAATCAAAAACACTTTGCGAAATAGTATTCACAATATTAAAAATAGTCATGAATTCCAACAGAAATTTTTAAGTCCCAGAAAGACATTTGAGGCAAAAATATATACTATTAAAACAGTAATGACAACAGTACAAAACTGATATAAGAGAATATCATGAAATGTGGAAAAGCAGCAACAAAAATAGCATCCCAGGACTTGAGCACAGTTAGCAATGAAGCCCCTGGAATTAGAAGGGAGAACTCTTCCTGAAGAAGGAGGCTCCATGGAAAAATTTCACATGAGAGTCCTCAGGGTTCTCTCTGGGGTTTTGAAGACTTCTGGTTTCTATGAGAGAAGGAGGGAGGTAATCATCAGAATAGACAGAGTCCATAAACCCAGAGAGATTTAGAAATTTAAGTTAATCTACCAGACCCTCTCTAGAAATTATTGCAATACCACTCAACTGTAAAGAATCAATGAACACAACTGGAACTCCAGAAACTTCCAAAAATGTTCACAAGTAGGCACGAAGTAATTGAGGTTTGTTGCTGTATACGTCTTTCTCTGTTGCATCTTAAGGAATATAAATTATTTAATTTTTATTCTATTGCTGAATACAGAGGGAAATAACAATGAACTATTGTCTCCTATGACTGGATCTTGGGCCAATAATCATAACACAGGGGCCTAACACTTCCTCTGTGTCAGCACCGCTCTATAGCTTTATGTCAATAAACTTACAACACTGCCCTCATTTCACAGATGAGAAACTGGGGCTCAGAGAAGGTTAGTAATTTATCCAGGGTCACAGAGGCAGGATTTGGAATCAGGCATCCCAACTGCAGAGTCCATGCCCTTCACCACTACCCCATCAGGCCTTTATAGGGTTTTGAGTCTTCAACAATGTGAGCCTGCACAGACAGCCCTCCTTTTTCAAGGCCCACACATTCTCCTGCTCAGTGACCTCTCTTTGACCTGGCAGTCAGGCGACCTGCAGGGAGCTCGCTTGGAAATGTCTATTCATAAGCTACTCTGGGACAAATTTTAGGACCGTCAGGTAGCCAAGAATAGCAACCAAGATATAACTTAGTTTTCATAATAAAGCATAAGCACTATATTGCTCTTTAGAAGTATAGTTCATGCCAAATGTCTGAGACCCTGATAACAGCTCTTAGCTTTGTAGCTAATGATGCCCAGGGAGGTAGCGCAATCAAACATTTTTTTGCAGAATTGAAAATTCAAACAATCTCCTAACATCCTGGGATAGCCAACTATAAAGACAGAATCAAGAGGCTGGGGGGCCCTCACTGCATGGAGTACTCACAGGCTCAGTCAAGGGCTTGCAGTACAGAAGAGCCCTTCTGTTCAGGTTAAAGTTGCGGCAGTAGCTAAGCTGGGCTGGAACACTGGCTACTATAATCTCATCTGGTTATTTTCTCTATTAGAGAAGAGGATTTGCATCCTAGGCATAGGGTTATATTTTAATGTGTGGAAATCATGATTCCATGCCAACTCAGGATGGCTGTTCATTCAGATGCACCTTGAGAAGGTACAACAAAGGATAAGTCACACCGTGTAAGTTTCTTAAGACAATGATCTCCCCCTTCCCACGTGACACAGAAAAAAGATGCTGGAGATCAGGGTTGATGTCCCACAGGTCCGCAGAGTACCGACTACTGGAATTAAATACTAAAATACTTCTATGCCAATCGGTCAACAGTTCCTTCCCTGCAATGTCCTGCCCCTGCCTGGATTAGGGCAAATTATGAAGTTCTATAGTAAAAGGTTGGCTGTCATTACAGAGAAGTCTCTGGGCTCTAGCTGCAGCACTTAGCTCCATGTGGTACCCTCTCCTCGCCCAGTTGTCAAATATAATGCATACCACCTTTGATGACAATGGGTAGCAAAGACCAGCTTGAAGGGTGAAAAAGGTACAAAAGGGCAAATCAAGTGAGTGATGTTTGAGAAGCGGGATAATGAGCTCTGACTAAATACTACAGCTTTCAGGATCTCAACCTACTTTTAGCATGAGATTAGGATCTGCCTGTCCCTGACTCCCCTGGATAACTTTTCCTAAATCACTATCCAGAAAAAAAGGAAATTTCTTGAGGGCTTGGGCCAAGGACACCTGTGCCTGTTTGCCCTCCACAGGAATGACCGTTCTATGAATAGCATCTAGCACAGAGATTCATTACCTGTACTTTAAATGTTCTGTCTGATCTAAGTCCAAGACTAACCAAAATCTGAAAACAACAATGAAAATAATTCTAGAGTCACTTCCTTTGGAATAGCTGCAATATACTGAGTCCTGGCTCCGATTTAATGGAGAGGTTCAGCGAAGGGCAAAGAAGAGAAACAGACTGCCTCTAACCTCCTGTTTTTGTTTGGATGTTTGTGTGTTTGTTTTGTCTTTCTGTACAGATTCCAGCATGCACTTCTGAAGTCCCAAACAAATCCCTGACCAGGCTGCTGTGAATGAGGCTTTACTCTCACAGTATCATGAAAGCAAACACAAGTCTCCAGGGTCAAGTACTTCTTTTGTTCTAGATGTTATTTCCCACGAGTTCAATCCTGCCATTAGCATTGATTTCCACATCTTTAATCTAGGCCCTCCTATCTCAGCTGTTAAAGAACTGTCCAACTATGATCTCTTTACCATCTTACAGGGAAGAAGTGAAAAGACAAAGGTGGAAAGAAGAGAAAAATAAAGTCACTTACCTTTACCCCCCGTAGCTTGAAGCATCTTCAAATGATCCACTGTCATTTGTAATATTTCAGCTTTTTCTAACTTTGCAGATCCCTTCATAAATAAATAATAACCTTGTAAGGCCTACAGAAACTGAATTACTGATTTATACTGAATCTTCAATTTTCCCTCTCATAAAAAAATTCTAACTTTAATTTATTCACCAAAAAATCAGAATTATTTCCAAACTTTAGATGAACTACTGATAGATTTTTGCCATTTTACGTTTTAAAAACTAAATACATAATAATTCTTTTTTTAATCATATGAGCAATTATCTCCTCCTAAGATCACCCCAACAGAACTGTATTAGTTGCAAAAACTCAAACTTCGCATCCAATCCCTAGCCTGGTTAATAATACGCTTTATTAGGGGACATCCCATAGTCTTAAAGCATAATGAAGTCTACATTGGTTGAATCCAACTCTGGAGGGTAAGGAAATAGGGTCTTAGCAAATGATTGTTAAAAACTGATATTTTTCAAAAATAAAAAATCCTAGTAAGTCTTTAAGATGTATCACACTAGAACACGGGTAAGCAGAACCAGAAATTAAAAAAGAACTTTTAAAGTTTTTTTCCCCAATAATTACCAGCAGGTGTCACTGTGAATTCCACAGCGATAAGTAAGAAAGCATAATTTACTGCTTATCTAGAAAGCATGATAAGAGCTTAAGGAAATCTGATTCCTTTAAATAGATCTTAGTAAAACAGTCTTGGAAAACATTTTTGTGTCCCCTTTTATTAAAAAAAAAAAAAAAAAAAAAAAAGCAATCCCTGGAAACCAATTGAAATACAAATGTGCCACCTCAAACTGTCCCAGAGGGCTGTGGGTGGTTTTTAATTTCCTGGAAGAGGTCGGTAATTAAATCAGTGTCTTTTGGAAAAGGACACTGAGGTTTATTTCAGGTTCCTATGTTTTACTTGTTTTGTAAAAATTACCAGCACCCAGTAGAGGGTGAGAGCTCCAGAGTTACTGAACTGCTTGAGAGAATACTCCTAATCGTATTGTGACAGGGCCAGCTCATTAGGGGAGGTAGCCAAGCTCTGAAAATGGGAAAGCCTGTATTTACCGTAACTAGCTGCCAAACAACTCAAGTTTGCTTTTAAGGTTTGTTTTAAGTCAACATTAAAAAAAAAATGCAACAAATTAAAAAAAAAAATCACCAAACTGACTATTCGTCTTCACTGTAGGTATTTCGCTACCCACAGTGAAAACATCATTGATTATGGCTATTTTCATTTTCAGCTTATTGTCACTGAAAGTACACTAACCAAAACTACAATTTTCATGTTACATTTAGCTAATCCCAAGCAGTTTTGGCATATAGAATGAGTGTCTTTTTATTCTTTCAAGAATACATAATCAATATCATATTACATCTTGTACTTCCATCAATGTTCAATTTTTTCAAGAAGATGTATAATAGTTTCAGTGAAAGTGACTAAACTGAAGTTTCTGGATGATTTCCAAAGGTTTTGTAGAGCTAGTTTCATGCTTATGGCTCAAGAAGTAAACAACAGAATGGAATAAACAAACAACTGCCAATTTATACCCTATTTGAAATAAACTGAAAATATTTTCAGCAAGGGTATGATGCCATATTCTTTGAAAGATGCTTTTAGAAATCTGTACTATTAGCCATTTCAGCAGGAGAAGAAACATGACTTTTCTAAAACAATAAAGGAAGATTTAAACATTTGGTTTCCTACTTTTCTACATGTGTAAAATCTTTTTTGTAAAGGAATACTTGAATTCTGAACTGGGACATTTAAGGCTTATTTGATTTTAACTAAACTTTTAAAGGATTTTTTTTTAACAATTTACCAAAAAGGTGTCCCAAATAGAACATCATTCTATTAACTTAGGGATTAAAATGAAAGCAAGTGGCTTGGTAAATAAATTTTGTTGGTATTATGATTTAGGTAATATAGCTGGAAATGTTACTGGAATTTGGTTATTTTTAAAATATACATGCTTACTTTTTTTTAACAGTTTGAGACAAAAATGAAATTTCACACATGATATCTTTTATTTATTTATTTTTTTTGGAAGAACACTGAATACAGCATGGTTTTAAAGAAAACCACTACTGTTATTCATAGAAAGAACAGAGAAAGCATGAACACTGTTCCCCTTAAGGGGAAAATAAACTAAAAGAATAGAAATGTTTTTCAACTTCATGATGGATTATGTTTTTAATAGTTCTGCCACAACAAAGCATTTTATTGAAATAGCTGCTCTGTGCCAGATCAGGGCATATACACCATTATTTTAATGAGCTTTAACAAGAACCGACATTCCCAGATGAGAGATTCAGATTTTTCTGAGCTTTTTAATGGGGTGGTCAGGGTTGGGGGTAGCTTACTTGTTTTTCAAAAGCAGTTGGCACCAGTCGTCTCAACTCAGATAAACTGTTATTTATCCGATCTCGACGCCTTTTCTCTATAATCTGTCCCCCAAAAAGCAAAACAACAATAGCAAAAGTTTATGAGTGCACAAATGATAAAATTACTCATAATGGAAAAATACAACTGTTACACATTAGGTTGAATTACATAAAATAAAAAGGAAAAAAAATCACATACCCCTCTCCTTTTCTTTCTTGCCATAATCTGAGATGTTGTTGTTGGAGAATTCGATCTAATCACAGAGTTAGTACTTTGCCTGTGAAACAGGAAGACTCTGTCAGGTGCTGCATTAACATAACAATAGTTTATTCTGGGTACTTGATGGCACCCCATTGCATACTTCAGACTTACTGCACAGTTCAAGTCTGTGTTATTTTACTCTTAATTCTTGCTTAACAGACTTTGCTTTCATACTCTTACCATACTATGCTTTCAGATTTGTATCTCCTTTCAGGAATCATGGAATTATGTCTTTTTCTCCTTCAAATTTTAATGAGTAATCCAGATGTTGTATCCATTGGCAAAAAGTCCCTGAACTTTTTAGTCTCCCAGTGAAATAGTTAGGGTCAGTCAGGGTGAAAAGTTAGATATCAGTACTTCCGAGTTTCGATAATAATGTTTCTTAAAAGTCAACTAATCTCTAATAGCATCCCTCCTCCTCCTTCCCATCAGACACACTGAACAAAGCAAAGCTATTTTAAAATAAAGGCCATGTTTAGCCCCACTATCAAATAGATATACAGCCATCACGTGTCAAACTGTTGTCCCTAGATGCAATCTTTAAGAGAAACATAAGTTATGTAACTATTTTAAAACTTCAGTCATACCTCAGGGACATGAAAAACTGTGACAAATTTATAATTCTGCATACTAAATGAACACTCAAATTAAATATACCAATCATATGGAAATTAAAATTAAACCAACTACTAGATAAACCTTTCGCTTTGAAAATGGAACTGTGGTGAGTATCTCTCGGTGTTCAATCTAACCTTAAACCTCCAGGAGATGCAATCCTTCTGGAGTTTGGTAATGAAAAGGTATTTGATATTGAAAGTTCAATCAAATTATTTTGTCATAATTTTTATGATCCTTTCTAGCGTGTATCTGTTTCCCTTGATAACGTATGGGTACTACGCCTTACATTCCGGGATTCTCCAGGTCCCTATTTGTTCTCTTTCATTTTAGAAATGTTGCACACACCAGGTTCTTATTATCTCACCTTCTCACTTCTGGATCTTATTTCTGAATTAACTGTCCATCTCATTCCCACCCCTTTTCAACTGGTTTCACCTTTCACATGACATCTTCTGTTTTTCAGATCTCATTTTTAAGACAATACACTTGACTATTTAGAAGATTCTCTGCAAACAAGGTTGGATGTAAATATCTTTACTCTTGAGATTGCAGGCAGGCTTCGTTGGTAGCTAATTCTACAATTCGAATAACAATGTGAAAGAAAACCAGTTTTCCAAAGGTAGAAGAATTGCGCTCTTTGAGTGACAGCTGTAGAGAAATAATTAAGATGCTTCTGGGGATGCCAATTAGAAGCAATTATCATTTGACCACCTTAGCATTAAAATACCTCGGTAATCTCCCTGTCACTGGAAAGTGGGGGTTTGGCTTCTGTGATCACGACCCCGATCTTCACCTGACTTAAGCTCAAGCAGTAAAAGAGATGATGCCTCAAACGACCCTTCCATCTGTCAATCTCCTGTCTGCCAAGTCACACACGGTAAATCCGTAAAGCTCAGCCTACTTAGCCTTGACATAGCAAACTGCTTTAATTTCCCCTAAAGACAAGCCATCTTTTTTCGTTTTTCTTTGGGCCCAGCCCATTTGGAAGGTGCTCTCAAACAGGTTCGGTGGGGAGGGCGTCACCCGTCGCCCCGACGTGCCAGCCCGCGCTCCCACCCTGACAGCCCGGGACCCTCCCCCGCCAGCTCCCGCACGTCCTCGCCGAGGCGCCCCGGGTCTCAACGCCCCACCCCTGGGGTGGAAACCCACATCCCTCGCCACACCCGACGTGGGCTCCCGGGGCGCCCACCCCTCCAAATCTCCCCGGCTGAAGTTTCCCCGCTCTGCTAGGACGCGGCCAAGAGGAGCCCCGGGAATTCCACGGAGCCGCCAGTGCACAGCGATCCCCGACGCCTCGGGGTCCCCGCAGCTCCCCTGCACCCCTGCTCACCCCGAGTAATTGTTCTCGCTCCCCACGTCGATGGTCTCGTCCATGTCGCTCTCGGAGGTCGTCTCCTCGCACGGGCGCTTCATCGCGGTGAAGGCAGCGCGGGGCGCAGCCCGGCCGGAACCAGCAACACCGAGCGGGGCGCAGCGCCCTCCCTGCCTGCCTCCTCCCTTCCTCCCGCCTCGGACCGGGCTAGACGCGACTCGAGCGGCGGCGCGGTCGGCTCCACGGGGCTCTTTCCCACGCCGCAGCCCTGCCCGGCCGCAAGAGCCGGCGCCGGCCACGCCCCCCCCGCGCGCGGGCGGGGCCACCTCGCCGCCTCCCGCGCTCCCGCCCCCACCGCCCCGCCTAGCCCCGCCCCCTCGGGGTGGGCGCGGCCCGCGATTGGCTGCAAGGGAGGGGCGGGGCCGCGTACGCCGAAGCCCGCTGGGAGCCCCGGGTCCCGGCGTGGGAACGCCGCGGTGCACCTGGGGCCCGGGAGCCGCGCGCGGGCGGGGAGACGGCGCCGCGGGCGCGAGCTGGAGGTTGCGAACTCGGGCTAGGGGGGCGAGCGGACGTGGGCGTGGGCGGGGGCGGGGGCGGGGGCGGGGGCGGGCGGCGAGGGGCGGGCCCTGGATCTGCCGCTTGGGCCCTTCTCCGCGCCCCGCCGTCTGCCGGTGAAGTGCCGGTGCCGTCTGTAGAGAGTGACCCGCGCGCGTGGCTGGGTGTGAGCGGGCGCGTGTGAGGTCCGGGGGCGCCGTGGCTGCACCGAGCCGCCCCACTCGGCTGTCCCTTGTCTGCACCAAAACTGCTGACTGGCTGACCCTGGCGGTCACTTTCGCCCTCTTGGGGCTTTGAAAACTTTAAATCAAAGTTGCTTTTGCTCCCAGCCAACTCCCAAGGCTGCGTCCGCGGCCTCGGGGCTGTGGACAGATGAGCACGCGCGTCTCCCCGACCAGGGGCCTCGCCGCTGGCTCCCGGAGGGTCCGAGAGGGCGGCCGCCAAGTGATTTGCAACTTGGTCTAAATCAGTTCTTTCCATTGGGCCGCAGGGGCTGCGGACAGTTGAGCCCGCCAAGGCACCGTGGGTTGGAGTTGCGTCTACACTGGCGGCAGAAAGTGCTAGACCAGCGACGCGGGTGTTGCAGCACACCATTGAATAGAGTCTCAAGTAGGAGATTTGGGGCTTGAATTATCCAGATAACCACAGCTCTCCACTTTTCCCTGTTGTGTGCACTCGTAGCAGTGGAGTAAATTCGATTCCCGGGTGAGCAAAAATTGCTCTTGGAAACTGACTTTGTTTTCTAAAGTACGAATTGGTGCCTTTTTTTGTGTGTGCACGAGCGTGGGTTGTATAACTCCAGGTGTGCTTTCAGACACGCTTTCAGCTGCTCTTTTTTCTCCATGCTCTGTGATATTTTTGACCCGGCTTTGTCTGTGTGCGACTGAGAGCAGGAGCTGAGCTGACCGAGCGTGGGCAGCCGGGCTGGCGGGCGGAGGTTTGGCCAAGGTGGAGCTAGAGACGCCACTGGTTGCTCCAGGACCGCTCAGTAGTTAGTGGAGAAACGCCTCTGGGAAAGGGGCGTCTATCAATCACCACAACCCACCTCGAGGGACGGATTTGTATTTTTCTGGAGATCTGCCTAGGGTGTCCCTTTGACACGCCATCTCCTTCCCCCCGGCGCGCGCGCGCGCGCACAAGCACGACTTGCGCGGGACAGGGAAGAAGATGGACGTGAAAAGACAGGGCTGGGGCGGGGGTTGGGCAGAGCGAGCCCTGGAAGGACCCGCAGCCCGCGTGTTAAGTCTTCATTAAAACACAAAACCTCTTCACACGCCCTGGCCTCTTTTGTGCTGCCCCCACCGCGGTGCCTGCAATAACCGTGCGAACAGAAACCCGAAACGTTCTATCCAGACTTTCTGAAACTTCACCCCGGGGCAAAGCTTGTAGTCAGCCCGGGCCGGGCGGGGCCTGGTGGGGCTGGACCGGGTCAGCTCGGGACGACCAAGCTGCTGGGGGCCGTGACCCCACAGTTGGCAGTGAGCCTCCAGGCGGGCGCTCGACCCGCGCGGCTCCCCGGCCTCTGCTCCGCCGCGACGCAGGCTGACTTTGCGCGCTGCGCTGAGCTGAGCGGGCCCGCATCCCACCCACCCACCCAGACCTCCCGCGATGCCATCAGCCTTGGGTCCCGCAACCCTGGGACCCGCGAACCGGACGCGCGCTTGGCTGCTCCGGTGGCGAGTCCGCACAGGCCACAGACGGACGCGCCGAAGCAGACCTGGCACGAGCTCGACCTTCACAAACTTTGAGAGTGGGCTGCACGGTTTTCTGAAAGTGAATGCCTATATGAGCAATTAACGTTTGCCACGCGAGCAAATTAGCTGGCGCTTCCAGATGCTGGAGGCCAAACTTGGGGAAACATTTTTTTTCTTACTGTCCTAATGTATTTAGTTACAATAATTGTGAAAAAATCGCAAAGAGGAAAATGGTTTCCTTGCAATAAAGTAGCAACTTGTTAAGGTTTTTCCATATTTGTCTTTGAAGGTTTAACCGCCGTATGGTGGTCTACAGAAATATAGAGTAGGGATGTCGGAAAAGCACACACGGGTTTAATATAGTTCAAAATTATTTTAAGTAGAGAGTCATATTTTACAAGAGTTTAGAATTGTGCCTGGTACACGGCAAGCACTATATAAAGTCTGTTTAAAATAAACAGCAATGCATTGGGCAAAAGACCTCGGCGTCTTAAACACTATCAAAAATAATATACTAACTTATCTGCAAAATACTTAATCGCAATTAAGGCAGCATGAGATCTTTCAATTAGGTATTATTTTTCCTCAAGTGTTCCGTTTGCCTATCCGATGGCTAAGCGCCTTGTTTGTCTCCCACTGAAAGCGCCTCTCGGGTCAGAGGGAGAAACTTGGAGGAAACTCTTAAAACGCTCCAGCATTTTAAAACGGTGGTGGATTTTCGGGGTGGAGGGGGGCTGGCTGGAGAGTGCAGGGGTGGCGTAAGCGGAAAGAAAGAAAAAACAGCATGAGAGAAGCACGGGATTTCAAGCCTCGTCGCCTTTCTGCAACATCTTTTATGAGAAAGTTGCTTGAAGGCTTACTGGGAGTACCCGCAGAAGAAAAGATATCCACACGCAGAGCAAATCGTAGTTCCTTTCCTTTTCAAAGATGTGTACAATGAGATAATTAGACCGAAAGATAATGCGGGACTTTACGAGAAACGAAATGCCATTAGGAAAGAAAGCCCATGACCACGGATCTAAAAGGAATGGAGGAGGGGAGACTCAGATGCCTTCCCCCATTGGGTCATCTCGCTCTTGCTTTGTCCTTAACTTGATTTTACTCACTTTAGAACCTAAGAGTGAGAGGTCGAATACTGCGTGCGACCTGGGAAACAGGAGACTCTGTGGGTCCTGACCCTCTTCACCCACCCATTCAATATAAAGTTACAGCTTTATTACCTCTATTTGTAAGTTAGGTGATCTTGAACTAGGCTTAATTTAGCCTTCAAATTTTGAGTTTTGATTTAGGGATTCCTAATTCTCTTAGGGATGCAGTTACATGTATTCACTTCTTTCCTTATACTGATGAACTGAGTACTTTGCTGTAACCCAGAGATTAATCTTGAAGCATTTTGGGAACAAACCTGGGATCTTTTAAACTTCTTCCCGATCTGCTTTTTTCACTAAAACGTCCTGATTTTTCAAGATCAATTGATCCACTTTGTTATTTGTTGCTTCTCTGAATTCTTTGACCTGCTACGTATAATTACTAAAAGTATTGGGTTCTCTTAGAAGGTGAGGAAGACATCGCACAACTTCTTAAAATGTTTTAACTTAGTTTCTCAGAGGCAGCTCTGTTATCTGTTAGGACATAGGTTATCCTAGCATGTTAATGCGAAATGGCTAGTGCAATAGTTCAAATTGAGAAGTCCGATATTTTGCCCTATTTGAAATATAATTTTTCACTTAACTTTCTCTTTCACAGCAAAGGGAAGATGAGCAGGTTGCCCTGAGAAGAGCTGGTCAATTTGCAATAGCTGGGGCAGGTGACAAGCAGGAGCATCTGTGAGCAGGCTTGTTGGGCCACCTTCTTTGACTACAAGCTATTGTGAACAGACAACCCTTTAAAGTGTGTGAGAATGCTTAACCCTGAGAGTGGAGGCCAAGGGCAAGATCCTTGTAAATTTCAATACCTTTCTCAATGTCAGGCTGGCAGCAGGCAGGGAAACCTATGGTCACTGTGGAAGAGATACTTGCCAGGCAGAACAGGAAAACAAAGCTGAAACATTATTAGGGCAAATTTAGGCCCACCAACCTTGTCATAATCGACAAAAAGGAACTGTTTTACCAGTTAACAAGTATTCTTGCCTGGTCAGCCTCACAAAGTGCATCCTATTTCTTGACCTGACCCAGTAGGTGCTACTTATTAAGTGAGAAGCTACAAGATAGGAAATCTAAGACCCAAAACCCCCTTTCTTAAAAGTTGGAATGTTTAAATTCATCTCTGTTATTAAGGGTAATTTATTTAAAAGCTTTCAGTTTATGAGTGGTGTTATTAGTGCTTAGCACATACCAGAGGATGAAGGTTAGTTTTTTGCAGGACCCTTGAGAAGAGGGTATAATTAAGCAACTAATATTCCATACCTTTGGAGGCAACAGTCAGAAGATAATGACAGCCACTATATTAACTTCCTTTCTGTGAGACTTAAATTTGTGTTGGCAGGCTCTTCTTTAAGGAAATTCTTTAGACTGCCACTTTCTTAAAGATGATTTGATTGGCAGATTTTATCCCTTCTCTTAGGAATGCAGTTACATGTATTCACTTCTTTCATGAAAATCATATTTTAACTAACCACATCCTCATCCTCTAGAAGAGTGTTTAGTACATAGTAGATGCACAATACATGACGTGGAATGAATTTCTTGTTGAAATCAATGAACTACTATATCTCCATCTCTATATCAAAATACATAATTTATATATATATCTCTAGATACATAATTTAGATACATTGGGATAATAAAAATAAGCTACAAACCATGAAAAAAATGAAGGGAATGTGCTCAAATAGGAGCAGGAAAGTATTTTTAATGAATGGGCCCTTTTTTAAACCCTAGCTTCCTAGTAGAGATAGAGTAGATAGAGATAGACAATAAGTACTTTGGTGGTGCGTGTGATGTGGTAACACACATCTGATGCTATATCTCTAAATCATATACAGTACTATAAACCAATGTCCCCTCCACAACAA